GCATGGAAAGTCGCTTCAAGAAAGCCTGAAGCATCTTGCCCTGTTGAAACTTCAACGCCGTCTCACACCTGACGAGCATTGATATCGTCTGGCCGTACGGCTTTTGCCGATCATACGACGCCAAAAGCCTGTCAAAGACTTCTTCCATGTCATCGTGGGCAATCGTGAGATCAATCGCGCGCGAAAAATTGCCCGACGACAGGCCTCGATGGTTGAACGTCGTCATGTCAGTCTCGTGGACCCAGCCATTCTTGATGGTCCAGTGCGCGTCGAGATCAAAGTCTGAGTGGTTGTAAATGTCCAGGGCGATCCGCTGAAACCCGAGCAAAAGTGCCAACTGAAAAGCGGTAAAGCTCTGGGAGCCGCTCTTGATGTATGCATTTACGTCAGTTTGCGGCTTGCTGATCAAATAATTCACAATCCCTTGGCGTCCGTTCCATACGGCATACACCAGTGGTGTCCGGTTGTTGAAGTCGCGAGCGCCGGTGTACTTCTGCGTGCTGCCGACCAAGTCCGGGACGAGACTATTGATGTTGTGTTTGGCAGCCTCATGTAGTAATGTGGTACCGAATTCTGGGGCGCCTGATACGTCCTCCCAAAACTGGGTTTCTATGTTGTCAGATGTCGCAATCTTCGCCCAGTTGGAGATGACCTCGTCGCGATCATCCCCAAGAAAGTCGTTGATGAAACCCTGGCTCAACCCAGCCTCGTCGGCTGACGCGCAGTGCGTAAACAGGTAGCGTACTGAGTAGGCAAGGAATGGATGGTCATAGTAGCTTTTCTCGGTCAGCTCATAAAGGCGCACCTTGTCGTGATTGGCGCGGCGGGCATCAAAAGAAGAGAGTTCACCACGGATCCCCTTTTCGATAGAGGCAAAGTAAAGCAGGCAGGATTTCGCCAGCCTGTGGTGGCTCGCTCCCGTTATTTCAGTCAATGACAGTGCCTCGACGCCATCGAGCATGGCGAAGCCTTTCTCGAAGAGAAAGTCTTGGACGGTTTGGTGAACAAGCTGCACAACGCCATTCGATATCTCTGCGAGTCCGGCAGAAAGCACCCGAAGTTTCTTCACCATCTGGTCGTTCGATCGGATCGTGTCTGACGCCGACAACCAGTTCTCGTAGGCCCCTCGCTGTATGCCAGCTTCTCCGTCAAAGTTCAGCGCATCCCGCAGACGGTCGACGGGAAGGTTCTCGGTGCCGAAGCAGATCCATTGGAAAAGTTGCTTGGATTTCAGTGCGCTCTTCTCCTTGAGTTCCGTTATGAGATTTGCGTAGAGGTTGTGGAGCTGGGGCGGGATCTTGTCGATGTAGTCCACTATTTCCTCGACAGTACTGCCTTCGTTGTATTTCCAAACGACCTGAGGGATGACGAGCACCACCCACAAAAACACCTGGCGCGCCTGCTCTTCTACTTTCTGACGGAGAGCCTCGAGGTCTTCCGGACTTGTCACCACGCGTGTGAGCTCTTGGTCGATGTACCTGGCAATGTCTTTGTCGTTGGCCGACTCGACAACTACTTGCTCGCAGTTGTCCGGGGCGATGATGGGGTAGTGGCGACACGAGAAACAAATGCTGACTCGATACGAGCTCGAGGCAGACGTGTCGTAGATGCGCGTGAAGAACTGTACGAGGCGCCGGGCCTCTTTCTCGCCGCACTCGTCCAGGGCATCGATGAAGATGCAAAGTCCTGATCTCCTCAACAGGGCAGGAAGAACGTCGGAAACGAAAAAGTCCTCGAGATCCTGAGGACGCCATGACCAGGGCCCTGCCAGGCTCTCATCCATCTTTTTGTAGTGGTTGACGATGGAGCTCACAGCTCGAGGGTAAGCTTGACCGATCTGGTGCACCAGTGCACGGAAAAGCCCCAGTGGCGATCTCTGGAGGTCAGTCCCGCGGCCGTGGAAGTAGAAACAGATCTTGAGAGTTGCACCGTCCGGGTGAACATCACTCGAGTTCTTGATGACATGTTTCATCAGCGTACTTTTTCCACAACCGGGCTTGCCCTTCACCCAGAGCAGGCCTTGGCCGTTGGCGTGCCACTGCAGGTAGGTGGGATGCTCCAGGATCCAACGACAGGTACCAGCAGCAGCAGTCTCTACGTCAGCCCCGCGTGCGTTCATCTCTGGGAAGAAAAGAGTCGACATGCAAGCTAAAACGTGTCAGTGATAGCTTGGTTGAGGTCATTAGGGTTGCTCTGTACGTACCGTCAAAGTCCAGCTTGTCCGAAGCAACCTCAGTAGCTGGAATGTCTTTCGGAGAGTCAGCTCAGTTCCAATTGAAGTGACCAAAGATCGCGCACCAGATGTTCCATGCCGCAGCCAGCGCCGCAGCTCACCAAGCACCCGGCGGTACCCAGTATCTTCTGTGCTAGCAAATCGAACGAGGTCCATGTGGTTTGTGGGGACCGGTAGTTGGGGATAACCGCTAATCTTGGCCGAGTCCTTGTTCACAACCATGCCGACGCCGACGACTTCTCGTTCCTCGAAGAAGCATGTCAGTTGGAAACGAGCGGTGTTTTTCCGCAGCCAGATGCCAAAGGCAGCCTCTATGTCAGCGAGAGCCTCAGAATCGCGCTGCAGTAGACGAATGATATCGACATTGACCCGTGAGTTGGATGCCTTGAGGATGCGAGCCACGCCCGCGGCGAACGGGGCCAGGTCGGAGCCACGATGCGGCGTTCCCAGGAACGCAACAGCCGTCACGCATTCATGAAGCTGTTTCTGATGTTGCTCCGCAGCCTGCTCTGAGAGACACAGGGCTTTCTTGGCCACCAGGCCTCCAAGGCTGTGAACAACCAAGATGATGGGCCGTCTAGCCTGGGACCAGGTCAGTAGGAGGAGCAGTGGGAGACAAGGACGCCGATCGCAGCATCGTAGCCAGAACTCACTGCATGGTCTTCAATCCGCACAGTTGCAATGTCACTAATCAGAGTGGCCGCATGCTCCCGAATGTCGTTCTGTCCCACTGGTCCCAAGAACTTGGCAACATCAGCGTCGTACCCGAACGAGAGAATCCGGGCCTCTGGAACGTCTCGCGCCAATAGCTGGGTCGGCCAGTAGATGGGAGTGGCGCCGTTCGTGGCAAAGGTCTTGTATGGATGACCGGTGATTCCATGGATGAAAATGATATCGACCTGCGGGTTTGGGGGCGTATGCAAGACGCGGACGCCGAGGAAGTGGTCGTTCGGGAACAGATCTTCCTTCAGCGACTTTGGCTGTGCCACATTGTGGACAGCGAGCTTGAGCGTGTCAGCACGCTGTATCGCCATCTGGCAACGCCTCTGGCAGGTCCAATCTGATTGCGGTGGGTTGATACAGGGACTGAGCGGCTCGTATGCGGTCGCGCCGGCGCAAATTGATGCTCTCTGTGTCGTGCGCCGAAGAAGACGCTCACCTTGGAGGTCCTGGATTCTATGAGGAGGGGTTGACGAGAGGTCGATGAGATGGGCGAAAGGCCAGACCCCCAATCATCATGCAGAACACCGGAGCTGAAGGATGCACCTGGATTCGTCCTGACAAGGGTGCACGACGTTGAGAGCTGACGATGGTTGGCTGGGGCACTGTCGACTGTACATGGCCCCCAACTGAGGCTAGATTCAGACGGTACGGGGGGCTGCGGCTGCATCCTCCTGGACCGCAGTCGCCTCTTCACAAGCGACGGAGATTGGTGCGTGGAGAGGCTATTTTTTGGTGGCTGTGATGGGCTGAATCCGCAGGCATGAACCAGACTCTCGTCGTGGCAAGGTCGGGCGATGAAGAGGAGGGGGATGCCTTCAACGGGCGACCGAGGCGGTGCCAAGCGACAGCTGGCTGTGCCTTATGGTTGCATCTTGATGAGACCGAAAGGACCGCGATGGAACTTTCTTCACCAGTGTTAGGTTGTTCGGGCTTCAACGGCAAGGCGACGCTCGACTCCCCAGTGCAGCTGATTGTGATGATCCGGAGTGTATGATTGAGGTCTTGGAGGTGGTGGGTGATGGATGGTGGGTGATGTTTGGTGGGATGCAGTGAACCCCACCAAAATGGTCCGCGGCAACTGACGTGAGCAGTAACACCAGTCAAATGCAGTGCAACGTAAGCTGCCAATTTCACCACCGCAGGTAGGCATGCTTGGCATGACAATGAGCCAGTTCTAGCAAGATGAGATAAATGTAAAGTTGCCTGTTATTACTACAGCTCCAGTCGTCATCATCATCATCATCAAAGTCGTGTTCTCGTCCCTTCGCCAGGTGCTACCCCACAAGCTCTCGCAAATAACAAAAGCGCCTTCGCCGCCTACAATAGGACCCATCAAGCTCAGCTTCAAGCGCCAGCGACCACCTTCTCCACAATCTTGTTGCACTCGGCAGGGTCCTCAAAGATGTGCCAGGCCTCGCGCGGCACGTCTTTGAAGGCCTCCTCAAATCGCTTCGGCTCGTTCTTCGACTCGATACCGACAGCGGCGATGTCGGTCACCTTTCGGATGAGGATGAGCTTGACCCATCCATCGAACTCGCGGTAGCTACACGCAGCGTCAGTCAATACTCTTGCGGCTTTTTTTTTTTTATGAATCGATAGTTTCTCGGTTACTCACATGTCGCCGTAGGCCTCAGGGTCGGACTGCGTCGAATCACCAATGAGAATCAGCTTGCGCTTCGGCAACCACGAATGCACCTTGCGGATACGGTCCGTCTTGTACTGCTCTGTCCCCTTGGTCAAGGCCGACAACAGGCCAGCAATGGTGCGCCAACTCGAGTCGCGAAGAATCAGCGTGCCGTGAGGGTACCATTGGCGGCAGAAGTTGCGCAAGAACGGGTACAGGTTGTACGGCGACGCAGACAGGTAAAACCACGGCGCTTCCTTGGATATGAGAGACGTGATGTGCCTGTAGAGTTCGGGCATGCCGGGCACGGCACTCGGAGGGTCGACAAAGGTCTTGCGAAGGATGCCGAGTGGGGAGCTCGTCTGGGTCACCTTGATCGTGTCGTCAACGTCGGACAAGACAGCCCAGCCCTCGGCAGCCGCGAAATGGGTCTGCATCTCGAGCTCGCCCGAAATACCCCGAGGCACGGCGGCACTCGCCTTGACGGAGGTGCCTGTGGGTTGCTCAGAGAGCTTCAAGATGTCGGTGCTGATGCCATTACGACCTGTCGGCCCCAACTTGATCTCTCTATCCTGGTGTACGATTCGCAGGTGGCGGGCAGGCCGGACATCCCAGAGGAAGGGCAGGAGTCGCTCCTCGATGGTTGCAAGCTCCTCTGCATCGTCGGCCAGTCCCAGCGTCTCGGCAATGCTGGTAACCATGTCGACAACCTTGGCCTTGGGCTCCTTCTCGAAGACGGCGGCGACAAATTCGGCCTGCCAGCTGCTCAGACGGCCGGGCTTGAATGCCGTGTTGTCGAAGAGCCAGACGACGTCGTCACCGGAGACGGGGCGACCAAAGGGGTTCCGACTGCCGAGATAGGAAGAAAAGTTGTCAACAGAAGGGATGGAAAAAGCGGACTGCAGAGCGGGCAAACGGGGATCGGGTAGTGCGGATTCCATTTCGTCAAACTTGTGTTCCTTGCGCGTCTGGTCTTGCAGTGCCTGTGCCTGCGCGGCGGCAGCGCTTTTTGACTGATGCGACGACATGGCGGCTGGAATCTGGTGGCGAGGCAGGCTGCTGAAGTGTGGTCTCGAGGAAGGGTCAGGGGACAGGGCTGCCGTCGTAGCGTGGGAGACACAAGATATCACGAGGGAAAGACACGCCGCGAAAGGGGGACCAGATGCTGTGATCCAGCGGTAGTAAAATGGGGGCGGAGGAGAGAAGGGGGACGAGGCGACGGATGGGCAGCGTGCTGCTATATGTCTTGGGACCTGGCAGATCAAAGTTGGGAGTGGCGGCGATGAGGTCAGGAGATGGAGAGGGGAAGAAAGCCAGTCGGCATTGCATTTCAGCCCAGGTTGGTCGCAGCAGATCAGCTCTTCATCTCGATGCGATGTGACAGGCAGGCGGGCAGGCGCCTAACGATGCACCTCTGCCCTCAGCCCCTCAGCCAGGTAGATCAGGGCCAGTCAGTGGGCAACTACCACTGTCGCATACCTACCTTCCTGCCTTACCTGCCCACTTGCTAAACACAGGGAAAGAGATACAGGGAAAGAGGGGCAGGGAGCCGCAGTGTCGCCACGTCGATGCGCTTAACTTTCATCATCTCGACGCCAAGCAGCAGGTGGCAGTGGCAGGTCTTGTGGTCTTGCCGTGGCTTTGGTCAACAAGAGCTCGTGACAGCTTGTCTGTCTAGTGACGCCTGATGACGCACCTGAGGTTTCGAAGGAGTCTGGGGAGGAAGCATCCCAGTCCCGGCTGAATGTCGGATCGCGCCTCCACTTGACCAACAGGACCATGCTCCTCACGTGATCAGCATGTCACGGCATTAGCGAGAGAGTCGAGGCCCATCCGATCCGATTCCCGAGCTCCCTTTGTGTCCGATCCCCTACCTTAACCTTAAGCTGACCGGGCGGCCGACTGATGGTTGAATTTGGTGACGTGATACGATGGGCAGCCAAGGACAATGCCATAGCCTTACCAGCGAGTTGGCCTTTTCTTTTGCTTTCCTCGAATTAGATACCTAGGTACCTCACGATTCAACGTCAGAGCGACACATCAAACAGAACCTTGGCGAGCCAAGACTCTACCCTGACTAAGCCTGTCTTGGCAAGCAAGGCCCAAGTCATATCGGCTCAGGAAGTCAAGTCCCCAGTTCTGTTTCCTGTCCAAAATCCTTTCACCGTCATCAAATTCTCTCCACGCCGCCAAGTATCATCTCACTTCCATCCTTCCATACGAGACCACCGTTCTCACTGTTTCAATTTCGCAAGGCCAAGCTCCGTGCCTTGAGGCGTCGCGTTTCTGTAGCCTCCCTTGCTTGGCTCGCCGCCAAAGGAGGAGACGGCCTTGGGACCTCTGGAGTACCAAATCTCGCCTCGGCCACGCGGCCACTGTTGTCACATTTCACCCACCGCCCTTTCCGCAACTGGCATTTTGATCCTTTCGCTTCCTCCGTTGCACTGTCAGGGGGGCTTGATCGCCGCCCACGGCGTCTCATTTGAGGCGCACCGCCCATCATGAACAACGCGTCCAACACATGTTCGAACGACAACCCTGACTATGTCCAGGATGTCCACGGCAACGATGATCACACAAAATGGTCCGGCTGCGGCATCCCCAGTAATTCAACGGATGCTCCTGTACTGCAAGCATGCTGCGAGGCTCTCGGCGACGATTTCGTCTACACCTACCAGGACTATTTCCCTCTTTTCTCCGAGACCCATGACATTGCCAGCTGCTGGACCACCTGCATGGTCAACGTTTCGTCGGTTTCGTTCGCCGACTCGACCAACGTAACGCAATGCATGATCAACAGCCTGGCCAAGACCGACGACAATGACCCCCATGGCAAGCTGTGCGGCGGGCCGGGAATGCGAAGTCTGGCGGCACGACCTGGACTGGACGTTGCAAGCTGGGGCGTCGCGGCCGCCGCCCTGCTCGCCTGCCTGCTCCGAGGATGAGCGACAGGCGGACGAAGAGAGCTTGAGGAGACGAGCTTGTGGCATTGCGGCATTGCGTCAATGTCCGCGCGACGACATTGGGATCATATCGTGGCGTTTACGGTCAGGCGTGCGAATTTTGGCAGGATAGCGACTCACTTTTCATCGTTTATTAGTCACACGGAGGAGACCCTGCGACGCGTAGGGGCTGAATTAGACCAACATGATAGCCAGGTGGCTTGAACAGTTGTACACCTTTCCGCATTCCTGAGCTCTCGGATGCTAGGGCGTTCAATCGAGACCATTGTCTCTTGATGTCTCAAATCGGACACCCGTTGGCTTTATGGACCGCCACAAGATTCTCGAACGAGTGACATGTCGAAAAAAACACCGGACACCGTCTTCCACAGGCAAGACCATCACTGCTGACCTTGAGACGCATGCTTTGGTTGAAGCAGCTCCAACGCCTCTATCATTCCAACTGCCATGGCGAGAATTAGAGAGAGACAGCCACATGGATGGCAACTCAAGAGGCTCCTACCATCGGACTGCCTGTCGTCGGCGTCAGAGGACGCCGTGTGCATCCTTCTTTGTTCGTCTTGTCCATGATGACCTCTCTCACACAGTCGACTCCCCTCACCGTTCTCAGTATGAGTTGCCTGCTGCGTTGCGTGCGACCACAGCGTTCATGAAGTCGCTATGCGCCTCTGGGCACCATGGCTTCCCCTCGTGCCACTGCTCTTCTGTGCAGGGGGCCATGCCTATGCCGACATTGGGCTTTCCGAACGCCTTCGATCGAAGGAGTGCTTGTGCCTCACAGAGGTCATCATCGTCACCTATGTCGGCACACCAGAGTTCGTCGCCTCGTGCATCCAGTCTGGCTACTCCGGCACCATCACCATGCCGGGAGGACCAGGTTATCCCGATGTACCGTATCCGCCGCCCGCAAGCGCACCACCGCCAGCAGCAGCACCATGGCCGGGACCGGGATCCGGGACGTACACTAGTTTGTCCTTTGTGACGAGTGCCCGCGGCCTTTCCCTCGACATTCAGTCTTCGGCCACCGCTGCTCTGGCTGCGAATGGCACGCTGTCCACCACTCTCCACATCGTCGGACCGACGCCAGGTCTGAGCGACAGACCCTGTGACGGGCCAGCATCTGTTTCAAGGAGCGGAAGCGACTCTGGCAATGATACTAGCTTGACGAATTGTCCTTCCTCCGGCGCCTGTACAGTCCACGAAAATGATACGACATCGATATCAAACACGGGCTCAGCCAAGGTCTCGATCACTCTGACAATATTCACGACGTTGAGAACTGTCACCACATCCGTCGTCATGACGACAAATGAAGACTGCACGAGCTCAGCGACTCTCGCCACACTCGAAACCATCACCCCCGTAGGACCGAACATTCCGAACGTATCGACGACTTTCGACAGTGCTACTGGGTCAGTGACGAGCAATGGCGTGGATGACCTGGAGAGCGCGAATAATGGACCGGTCCTGACGATCTCGGAAACTGTCGCGTCGTTTGATGGGTCATCTACCGCGACGACGAAAGTTCTAACCAGGACTACCGGCTCCTTGTCAGACAACCTCAAGCCCACGGACCTTCCGGGATCACCGCGAGAGACGACAATGACTGTTGCAGCTACGACCACATCAACCACGACGATTACCGTGAGCGGTCTGCCGACGCGACCATCTGAGCAGTCATCCGTGTCATTCACTGCGAGTGTTTTCACAACGACAGCAATCACAGCGATCACGTCCACTAAAAGGCCGACAGCTTTGTCTGAAGGCTCAAGGGAGTCGATAGCCACGAGTCAATTGACTCCAGTGTCGGGTGTAACGACGGAACTCATCACTGTGGCCCTCAAGACTGCGTCCAGTGCCTTGACACGATCTATCTCGGGCTCAAACGTTCAACCACCCAGTGTGTCCCTCGATACAGCTTTACCAGCCTCGTCTCAGCGTGGCACGAGCAGCTTGGAGAGCACCATACCATCTTCTGGAGCAGCTCCTACAGTCACAAGCTCTCAGCAGAACTTGACACCAAGCGTCGCTAGCGGTGATGGCTCTCTCGAGATGTCCGCTTCTTCCACTGGAAGGGCCCCAATCTTTGGATCGGCGACTCTTACGGATTCATCGAGCTTGGTGGGCCCGCCCACTACCCTCGAGGCATCGGCGTTGCCCGGATCCGCAATCTCTCTGGGTCTCTCTAAGTCAACAGAGGCATCAGGTGCATTGGGTTTACTGACCTCTCTAGATGTCGCGACCTCAACATTGCCATTTCCTAGCAGCTCACGTTCGTCACCATGGACACTATCTCCAGAATCGTCAGGTATATCATCAGCCATCTCTGGGGTTGAAACCGCCATGACGAGCCGCTCATCTTCAGACGGTACCCACACCTCTGCAGTCACCACCGAAGTCATTGACCCTTCGATATCAGATGCATCATCCAGCGGACAGCAATCAACGAGTGTAACTTCTAGCAGCCCTTCGTCTAACTCATTGCTATTGCCATCGAGCATCACAAGCGAGTCTTCAGCTGTGTCGCGCCAGCCCACTTCCGTCCTCGAGGGTGTATCTTCAGGCAATGTTGCAACATCAAGAGACACTACATCACTGGGTCTCGGGACGGCATCGAGCACCGCCGCAATCTCAGTTGGATCAATAACTTCGTCGATTAGCACTACCTCCTCAAGTATCTTCATGTCTTTGGGCGAGTCTCTGATTTCTGCAAGCCAGCTCCCGATCCAGTCGAGCGACGTTGTCTCGACACAGCTGCCTATCTCTTTGAGCGACTCGATATCTTCACGCACTTCAAACTTATCCGACGAGAACTCTGAACCAGCTCCAAGCTCCGTTTCCGACCAACGGCAGAGTAGTTCGTCAGACGCGAGTATCTCAACCACCCATCAGGACACATCTAGCGATGCCAGGGATTCTTCTGGATCTTCGTCGGGTTTCTCGGCCCCTGCGACTAGCTTAGCTCTTGCCAACCCCTCCGTGCAGCCAGAATCAGCCTCATTGACCTTGAGTCTCTCCGGTTCTGCAGTAAGCTCAATGAAGGTGCCGACCGAACCTGCTTCCATTAGTATTCCGATGCCTTCCACACAGTCAGAGTTCCCACCTAGCCGTTCGGTGGCTCCCACTTCGAACATATCGCCCAACCTCTCTTCCCCGATGCCGGCGGTTTCCGTACTCTCATCGTACAGCTTAGAGTCCTCCAGTTTATCAGGATCATCTGAGTTCTCCGAGACGACCGATGGAATACGCCCAAGCACATCAATGCCATCCATCATCCTGGACATTTCGAGCACTCCGGTCCTCTCAATTGCGTCAGAGACTTCTTCAGGGTTGATATCATCAACAGCCCTAACACCTCAAAGCAGCACGATACTGTCAAGTATTTCTACGCAGCTTGCAACCATTGAGTCTTCCTCACTATCAGAATCATTCGCGGCGTCTGGCAGTTCCAACTTTCCTACAACTTTGGGTGGTTCCAGATCTTTTGCTACTTCCCCAGCATCCTCAAGGGGCTCAGCGTCTATCACTTCGCCATCATCCTCGCTAAGCCTCCCCGAGTCCAGCAAGCTCATTTCCACCACCAGCAGCGACTCTGAAATTAATGGATCATCAGAAACCTCCATCGACCCAAACACCTCATCCAGCAGCTTGGTATTCTCAAGTGCCTCGGAATCGTTTGCCATTTCGACTTCCATTCATCCATCGTCCCTTATGCTCTCGGAATCGTTGACCGTCTCGGAGCCAATACTCAGCGACGTCGGAGGCTCCAATTCAGCGGCTTCCACCAGCAGCCAAGGGTCGCCTGACATGACGTCCACATCTTCAAGTACTTCGGGCCCCAGCACAAGCTCCATCGACTTCTCGCTCTCTTTAGTGACGTCCAGTGTCTTTCCTACGGGAAGTGGCTCCGTTGTGGGACCAACACCACTATCAACCGTCCTTCCTAGCAGAACGTCTACGGGCTCAACAGTTGATATGGACACAGTCTCGTTTGTCACCACCACAGGACTATTTACTGGGACGGAGTCGATTACGGGTCCAGTCACGGTAACAGTACCGCCAAGTGGGACCATTCCCGGTACCGTTCTCATTCAATTGCCACAAGGTCGATTCGTCACTGTCCGAGTACCCTTTACGGGCACGGCGATCATCACTCAGCCAACTACAATATCTATCATTGCACCAGTTGGGACTGCCCCAGGAACTATTATCATCGCTACGCCGACCACTCCTGACGGCCCCGGAGTTACCGAGTCATCGTCGTCAAAATCAATGTCCGCGAGTCCGTCATCTTCGAACGTACCCTCAGTCCCATCGTCTACATCCACGGGCAACGTAGAGACCACACAAAGCAGAGCAAGCGTGTCAGAAAGCGAGACAATATCATTGGCACAACCCTCTTCCCTTGCTGGAGAGACATCATCATTCGAGGCTCCGCAGTCCATGTCAACAACGGAAATCTTATCAGGGGAGAGTATAGGGGCAAGCACAACCAGATCGACCAAGCTTCCGGTGTCATCGCCAGATGCGACAAGCAGCAGCCCGTCTGACACTGGCAGTACGGTGACGATTAGTAGCCAGCAGCCGACCAACGTGCCTGTGAGCTCTACTCCTCAGTCCTCGATAATGCCGAGTAACGCGGGGGAACCATTCAGCGCCTCCTCTACAGTCAGTCTCGCGCCCTCCGTCACGCCCTCCATCACTTCATCCGTCGAACCCTCGATGCTTTCCTCAATTAGACTGTCTCAAGCATCCTCAACCGACACACCTGTGCTGTCTACAAGAAATTCGTTGTCAAAATCGGTAGAAACATCCGGCTTGGCCTCGTCGCAGTCCATGAGTAGCGTCCTCACCTCAGCAACCAACCCGGATACAAGTAGAGAGCCCGTCTTTCCACCAAGTATCAGCGCTTCGACAACGAGTGACTTTGTCAGATCCAGTGCCTCAACCTCTGAATCAGGCCTACGTCTCTCTCTTGAGCCCAGCAGCCTACTTGTTCCAGGTGGTCAAACTACACAGTCTCTTCCCTCGTCTATCGTATCGAGCATTCAAACGGGCAGGTTGAGTGGCTCGTCTTCCGTCTCGCCGAGTAGTGAGGCTTCAGCATTGAGCGAGCAAGGTCCATCATCGACGGAAGCCGTCACTCTGAGTGAGATTGGCATCTCAAGTGAGCTTCCTGCCTCGCCGAGTGATTCCACCTCCTCGGGTGACGCTGTGCTGTCGACCGATGCCACCTCTTCAAGCGTTGATGCCTCCTCGACCAGGCTTATATCCCCTGGTCAGCCTTCAGTGGTGCCAAGTACGACGCCTTTTTCAAGCAGCACCGTGCCAGCAAGCGCGAGCCTGTCGCCCAGCGAGACCTTATCATCTGCTGAGATGAGTGCTACCCCTGGCCAATCTGCTTCCGGCAATGCTTCTGTTTCGAGCGACCCTGCTGTTTCCTCCAGCGACCCGATTGTTTCTTCAAGCGATATGAGCTCCTCAAGCCAGAGTTTGTCTTCCTCTGGAGCAATGATATCCTTGAGTGGTAGCGCATCTTTCCCAACTGCTGTTATCTCGTCAATAGAGCCCACGCGATCCTCCAGCGAGGCCATTCCAGCGAGCGACTCTGTCTCGACGGAGGCAGTCGGTTCTTTGAACGTGACGGCGATTCCTCAAAGCGAATCTTCGGCCATCTCCAGCGGAACCGTTTCATCGGGGCAAGATGGCTCGTCGGGGGAGGCTGCTCTGTCCTCCACTCAGTCAATGGGCATTTCCAGTTTTGTCGTCTCACCTGAAGAACCGACTCCTTTCCCAAGCCAGACTGAATTGACTAGGGAATCTTCGACCAACGTGTCCATCTCTCCAAGCGTTACAGCCACTTCTTCCGCAGACGTCGTACGGTCGAGTGCCAGCAGACAAAGCGCGGAGCCGTCAAGTGCACCGATCATATGGTCAAGCTCCACTGGGCTGGCTTCCGGTATAGCCCAGAACCCGAGTAGTGAGACTTTGTCAAGCGAACCGGCATCATCAGCCATCGCATCTTCACAGTCTGGTGCCAGCGCGATGATCCCGACGAGTAGCGGTTCAGTTTCAAGCATCGGGCCATCCAACGCATTGAGCAACGGCACACCATCGTCAAGCGAGTCTGTTTCTTCTGACAGAGGCTCATCCGAGGAGCTTAGCAGTAGTATCGAGCTTTCAAGCTTGTCCTCTACCATGTCCTCAGACGCTGGGGCTACCGAGACAAGTTTGCTAGCCTCATCGATGATCGCGGCGAGTAGTGCATCGCTCCCACCATCAACTTCTTACGAAAGTTCTTCGACCGTTTCGCTGCCTATGCAGACCAGCAGCGCTCCGCTGAGCAGTGAGACGAGCGTTCAGCTTTCGAAGTCTGTTGCGGTGTCTGACGGTACTGCACCGCCATCTACGAGGACTTCGGAGCCCAGCAGCAGTATCTCCGAACCCACAAGCGCCAACTCAGTCGTCAGTAGCAGCGAAGCCCAAGCCTCGAGTATCAGGGACATAGTTCTGTCAAGCAGTACTATTATGTTTTCCACCAGAGACAGCGTGGTCGCGTCTTCAAGCACTGAGCAGCCTTCTGACTCAACCAGTACGAGATCAGACCAGGAATCCAGTCCCAGCAGTAAACCGCAGAGTTCGACAGAGCCTGCACAGCCTTCATCACAGGTTGTTGAGTTGACCAGCGCTCCGCTCGATTCATCCAGCCGACTTCCATCCAGAGCCTCAACCAGCTACGTGTCCGACCTCGCGTCGAGCACTTCAGCGTCATCTTATCAGCCTGGAGCCACCCCGGGATCGATATCCACGGAGGTTGCCAGCAGTGAATCTCTAAGTTCTGGGATGGGATCTTCAGCAACGTCGGGCAGTGAAATCACTTCATCAATGGTGGAGCCATCCGGGCCCTCTAATACTGAGATTCCGACCTCTGAGCTACAATCCCCACCATCTGCGAGCAGTTCAGTGGTAATACCTGGCTCACTTGGCACCAGTACGACGATTGAATCGATATCCATCCAAACTGCCAGTAGTCAGGTCGTTAGTTCCAGCTCAGAACTTTGGGCATCTGCCATTAGTTCCGAGGTTTCGTCAAAACTCATCATATCAGACGTTCCAAGTAGCAAAATCCCGGCTTCCAGTGCGGAGCTGACAGAGCCCATGAGTACCAGTGCTCCTCTGCAATCGTCATCTTCAGAGACGCCGGACAGCGAAACGACCTCTTCGACAGATGCATCATCCGAGGTCCTCAGCAGTGTCGCTATGGTATCTGGCCCAGAGCCTTCACGCCTCTCCAGCAGCACGCCGTCGTCATCAGCGCCAGACGTACTGAGCAGCACAATGAGTCTAGCGAGCTCGACTTCTTCTGATTCTGCAAGCAGCGAAAGCCAGACATTTGGCCCAATATCATCTCAGCCGTCAAGCAGTGAAACAGTCGATCCAGGTCTAGAAACCCCCCTGAGCACAGTGAGCGACGTCATGACCTCTGAGTCTGAATCTTCAACAGTGTCTAGTAGCGGATTGTTCACATCTGACCCTGAATCATCTGCAAGCAGCCTGAACACCATTGCAACTAGTGTGGTGGCCAGCTCCGAATTGGAATCTGTCGAGTCGACAAGAGTCGAGTCTGAATCTTCGAGTTCAGTACCACCTGAGCCTTCAAGCAGCGGATTCCCCGCCTCAAGCACAGACATCTCTGTAGCTTTGAGCAGTCAGAAAACTGCTTCAAGCGCGGCCCCGCCAGTGTCGAACACTGACCAGCCCAGCACAGTCCCTTCAACATTGGTGTCCCAAAACCCTGAATCATCCTCGGCACCATCCAGCAACGACATTGACTCCTCATCAGTCTTGGGATCCAGCAGTATCAACATGTTTACCACAGCCAGCGTGAACCTTTCCAGTGGCAGTAGAGCTTCATCTGTACTGCCAACCCATCACTGTTAGCGTGGATTCCACTTCCGACTCGAGCCCGACAACTGCAATAAGCGAAAGAGCTGTCACAAATAGCGTCATCGGAAACTCTCTGACTACCATTATAGCGGAGAGTATGGCCGACTTCGCTTTCGACGGATGGCGGACTCATCCCTTCGTCAGCTTCCTCTTTGATCGGTACCGAATCAACGAGAACACCAAGTTTCGTAAGTTCAGTCATTGGTAATAGCGAATTTTCAAGTTTTCCGTCTGGGAATCCAGATCCAGAGAGCAGCATACGCAGTGGTTTGGGAACAGGCTCGAGCGTACCGCCCCGCTCGACATCAGATGCACCCGTTACTTCTACTGTGTCTTCGGTTGCTACATCATTTGCGCCAAGCTCAAGTGCATTGGGTGAGACTCAGTCCGATATGTCTTCTTCCGAAGTATCTGTGACTACCGACTCAGTGTCATCCCCAACAGCCTCCACGAGCATGCAGTCGCTTTCGACACTGGAGATTAGGTCTTCCCTCGTAGTAGTCACGTCTTCGCGGGTAGCGATATCCCTGCTGTCGACGACGTCTGCTCCAGATAGTTCAAGCCCTCCCAGTGTCACATCCGACGTCTCAAGTTCCATGTCTGCTGAGCAGGCCTCTGGCAGCACAGGTTCTACTCTGCTCTCGACATCGCTTATGCAGGCATCCTCAGCCGTCATAAGCAGCTCGACATCCGACGCTGGCCCGATGACAACAAGCGCAAGAAGTCTGGGTTCCTTCACCCAATCGAGTACCTCAACCATTTTGGTTTTGAGCTCTTCCGTGGAAGCTCTCTCATCCAATGGTGCATCAATCAGTTCAATCTTGTCCAGCAGCCAGATTGCGAGCTTCTCTTCGGAGTCAGCTGCAGTCTCTCTTCCTGGCACCTCGACTATCCTCTCCTCACCCACCAGCACATTGAGGGCATCGTTTAGTACACTTCCGAGCGTGAGCTCAGCGCCTGAGGTTGCTTCAACGGAAATATCCGATTCGGCAAGTTCAACTACATCTGTAAATACCAGCCCACCATCCAGTTCATCATTCAGCAGAGAAACCACTTCATCCACGAGCATAGTGGTTTCAGCACCAATCCCGAGTAGTTTTGATGTAACCAGTTCCACGGAGAGCTCCGCGACCACTTCGACGACTCGCTTGGCAAGCAGTCTTTTGACATCAATCCCGGCAACAAGCAGCCCAACCAGCCGCTCGATGAGCGACATGTTCAGTAGCACACCTACCAGCTCCACTCTGTTTAGCACCACAGAAACCAGTTTGACATTGATTAGTCTGCCAGGATCAAGCTCTTCAAGTTCATCAACATCAGGCACTACAAGTAACTCTCTAGTGAACACATCCCAAGGTAGTGTAGCTGTCACCACGTCAACTGCAAGCTCCGAGGTCACGTCCACCACGACGACATCGACAACATCGACAAGCTTGATTTCTATCACACAGGCGCCCTCTTCCAGGGTATCTACTAGCCCGACTTCGACTTCCGTTACTGTAGTCATTTCTACCACTTTAACGTCCACTTCTACTACATCATTTACCACCAGTACATCAACATTGAATCCAGCCATTCCAAGTTTGTCCACCATAACTACAGCTAGTACTTCAACATCAATGGCTACTCCAACATCCACTGCTATCACTTCGACCTCTACTCCAATATCTAATGCGTCTCCTACGCTAAGCCCCTCAACTTCTACCTCCACTTCAATATCAAACTCTGCCATACTAGTTACGCCTTCTACTATTTTCACCACGTCTACTCAGGCTACTTCGTCAAGCATATCGAGCACCTCAAGCACGTCAAGCGCGGCAAGCACAGCGAGCACTTCGACATCCACGACTTCAACCTCCATGGTTTTGACTACACCGGTTACGTCGACAACCACTTTGACAACTCCAACCATTCCGACCTCTTCCTCCACCCCAACCACCTCAACTATCGTAACTACCCTGGCCACTCCAACTACTCCGACTACTGCAGCCACTCCGACCACGTCGACTTCCACCTTGGTAGCTCCAAGTACTGCAACGACTCCAACCACTACAGCCACTCCAACCACCACGACCACTCTGACGCCCCCTACAACTCCCACCACTTTGATCACTTCCACCACTGTCATTAGCCCTCCCACCTCAGTTACTCCGACTACCACATTCACTCTGACAACTCCGACTACTCCGACCAATACCCTCACCCCGACTACTCCAACCACTCTGACCACTCTGACTACTTCAACGTCCATTACCTCGACCACCTCGACCACCTCCACTACTCCGACGTCAACCCGGGCAGTCGCCTCAGCAACCGCTGGCCCACAGTTCAGCTGCCCGCCAACAGGCTTCCTCGTCCAGGGAACAAGCTCAGGTGTCACCTTGTCATCCATCGACATTACGACTGGCCAACAAACATTGATTCGCAGCAACATCGCGGGAAACTCGGAAGTCAATGCCCTGGGCTATAACGCGCGCGATGACTACCTCTACGCCGTAGCCCAAAACGGCCTCCTCACGTCCATCTCGATCATCCGCCTCAATGCCCGGGGCGATGTATCCGTAGTTGTCCCGCAGGTCGCCAACAAGCTCGCCCTTCTGGGGGGCTTCAACGCGGGCGACGTCGACGAGAACTCCCAGTATTGGATCTCCACCAGCGGCAATGACTGGTACCAGTACGACCTGCGCCCCGGCAGCGCCACCTACGCGCAGCAGGTTGCCTACGGCACCCTGCCGCTGCTGTCTCGCCCCGCGCAGGTCATCGCGGACTGGGCCTACGTCCCCGGCGGCGGCAACTTTCTGTGGGCCATTGGCACGGCGTCCGGCGGCCGGACGGTCCTCATGCAGTTCAGTCGGTCGACGAAGCGGTGGACGCAGGTACGCGACTTTGGCAACATTGTCGGCGGCACGCTGCTCAACCAGCCGGTCTGGGGCGCAGTGTACGCGAGCGCCAATGGGTTCCTGTACGGCACCGAGAACCTCACTGGGCAGGTCTGGCGGTTTCCCGTCTTGTCGAGCACGGCGCCGGCGACGAGTGTGGTCACTGGGTCACCGGCAACGCTCAATGATGGCGCGAGATGTCTGGAAGCTTCGAATCTGCCGACGTAGGGACTGCATGACGAGCCATGTACGAGGTATTTGGCGTTGGGGTATACAGCCTCACTGGACGCCTGTTTGAGTTTTACATTTCTTTGGGTATTGGGATATCATAGCTGAACATACGCTCCTTCCCTATGTCGACTGTTAGTTTTATTGATTGATTACTCTTTTTCATGCAGTCGCCTGTCCAACGGCGATGCCCGTCAGCGTCATGCTCATACATCTCATTCAAAGCTTATCCTCTCACCAGGACCACACGGCAGAATCTACCACGCCGCCATGAGGCCTGCGCCCATCAACACGGCAATGCCCCACGTCGCCACAAGGGCACTGGCGCCAGTACCCAGCGTGAACATCCCGCTGCGAGCCGCCGACTCGCCCGTCTCGGTGGGCTCCTCGTCGCCGACCTCGACCTCTTCGCCAGTCTCGCCCTCGTCATCGCCGTTACTGACGAGCGTCACCATGGGAACATGTTCAAAGCCGGTAAAGGGTCCCTCAAATGCAATCACTACCGAAGCGGTGGCCGGGTCGGCCGTCACGTCGCTCAAGGCCACCGTCTCAATGTAGCGTGACGGTGTAAACTCGGCCGTGTCGGTCTGACTGAGGGCCATGCCCGTGACCTCTTTGCCGTTGTAAGTGAACGTGGCCGTGATGACGTCCGGGCGCGGGAAGTCGTCGACCATGTGCAGACAGACGGTGGGGGTCGGAAACTCGGACAAGGGAAAGTTGCAGAAGCAATTGCCAAAGCCGGTTGCGTCAAAGCCGGACGGGCAGCAGAGGACGGCCGACTCGCCCGGGGCGAGGGCTTCGACGAGGATATTGGGCACCGGGTTTGTGTGCTGACTCGGCCCATGGTCCCCCGTAGCGGTCGCCGTGAATTCTGTCTCGGCCTGGGTGAAGTGGCCCGACGCGTCGATGTCGCCGTTGGCGGACTTTGTGGCTGCGCCGACGGTCGTCCAGCCCGACGGACAGATGGAGGCTGGCGAGTGGTAGGCCCACGGAGTCGGGTAGGCGGCCGGGCTGCGGGATTGGGCTACCCACAGCGATTGGATTTCTTCGCCATCGGGTATGCAGTTGAAGAAGTCGCCGACGCGTTCTTCGCTGCAAGGAGAGCCGTACAGGGGAAATGTCGGCGCAGCAACCCGGGCGAGGTATTTGTCGGTCGGGCCCTCGGTGCAGGAGGCGGGAGGCGTCCAGGTCGATGTCAATGGGCCGACGTTGATGAAGCTTTGCTGGGAGAGGGAGCTGACAGAAGGCATGGCGATGGATGGTATTGCTGGATACGTCGCGCTGCCCTGATGTGCTTGAAGGGTCGATCAGGGTGATGCGCCATCTTATTGCCATGCGACTGTGCCGCAGCTGAAGAAACTGCACTTTCGACAAGGTGAGATGAGGTACTGACGAGCCGAAATGGGATGCGGCACAGTCACATGAGCGCTATGACGCAGACCATGGCAGGCAGCGGTTCAAAACCTCACGCCAAGAGACGCTGAATGGCAGCAGTCCTCCATTCCAGAAGATAGAGATGGCGGAGCTGTCGGTTGGGTTGGCTGTGAATTAAGGGGCCCTGGGATACCCCAGACTCACGTAGGCCAAGCAAATATCAGGCTTCAGAGAGTACGATGTGTGCCTCCTTGGGGCGCGAGCTAGCGCATGTCTAGGGAGTTTGGAGTCGGCAGGTTCTTGGCAGCACAGCGCCAACAGACATGCAGGTAAAGACAAGCTTGTCGCTTGCCGAGGAGGGATCGCTGCTTCCATGCTGTCGGTAGAAGACGCATGGGGTTGGTATTGAAGGAAGCGGTTGGTCTCGAGGTTCTTCCAAGATTTTGTTGAGCCACGAACAGAGCATGAGCAAAGCATGTGCAATGTGTCAAGGCCCAAGCAACAAGGCCCAAGAAGTCGTCGTTCTGCGATCACCAGCCCGGACGAAGAACAGACCAGCTCCAGCGGCATCGCATCGAACACTGCCTTCGTACGACTGGCTCCATGATTGACTGCGAGAGCTGCTGGCAGCTGGGTGCCTAGTGAGAGTGTCATGCCCATGACTGTTCAACGGCTCAAGGGTGTCCAACGTGGCCATGGCCATGCTTCAACCTGGCCAGCCTTGTCAGCTACCTAGCTAGGTAGGCTGGAGACGAGTGACTGCCCATTCTTGAATTGACCGTGATCAATCACATCCCACAAGTAGGGGTTCGTAGCGGCGATATGATGGTGTGGTGCTGGATAAATCAGGCTTTGTACAGATTGAAACCGTGTCCCCGATATGGCAGGACTGTCCTTTTGGTGCATCAAAAGGCGAAGGAGAGATTGACTTGGGCGAACCACCTCTGAAGAAGGATGGGTAAGAGAGGAAGAAGTGGAAGAGGCAGTGGAGAGCATTGGGGGCTCGTCGGTAAGGCTGAGATGCCCCAGCCACGATCCCACGATAGAACCTGCCTGAAGAAGGGGGAGGGACGCCCCTGCCAAGCCATCATAGCGCTTCCAAGTGACGTCCAGACACCGGGTAGGAGCTGCCGGCGCAGCAATTGCATCCTGTGGCGATTAGGGAAGATGCTTTGCTCTCGTGGTCATTCCTCATCCATCCTCAACCTCGTCAAACCATCAACGAAGACCAGAGTCGAGCAGGCACACACACACACACACACACACACACACACACACACACATCAATTCATCCACGAAGACCAGACACATCACTGGACACACCACACGCGGAAGCCAGGCCCCGTACTCCCCCCTTTCCGCGCGTTTCCAGCGCCGTGCTCCACCAGCTGACGACGCGCTGCCTCCCACCCACCGATCATGCCGCCCAACGGCCAGGATGCTCGCGGAACACCCCCACAAGCACGCGCTGACGTCTTGTCCTGGAGATGGTCGCACCGTTGCACCGGGCTGGACTAGGTATCGAGACATACGAGCAGCGCCGATCATGCCCGTCCTCGGCCTTTCTCCAAAGACTGTCCGCTCGGTGCTGGCACTTATGTTCCGGCTCACTTGGACAACAGTCTGACCTCCCCCGAATCGTCGTCAGGGACACCTGCACAATGCCGCCACTCTTGATTCCCCTTGGGATACATCGCCAATTTCCATCTCATCCTCACCCCTCCTCAGTCGGCGTTGGCCTGCGGTTATCCAAGCCCTCTTACTCGTCACTGCAGCCCCTTTCGCCGACCATTGCGACCGTCACATACAACTGATACGACTATCGGCTGTCTCTCCCATGGCCTCCTACAAGAGCCTCGATGGCTCAGCGTCTTCGCCTGATACCCGTGCGCGCCTCGCGAATCTCTACGCCGTTGTCAAGTCGCGGTGCCTGCGTGTCCCCCGTTTGGCGTCTCAACTTCTGATCGCCGCGGCTCTGCTCCTCACCCTCGTCTGCCTCGTGCCCTCGCAAACCAAGCAGTCGTTCCTTGGCGCCGACTTTTCCAACTACTGGAAATGGCCATATTCCTCAACCGCGCCGAGCTCCCCTATTTACAACATCAGCTCTGGAGGGCCCGTTCGCATGGTCGTTTTTGGCACTCCCGATGTTGCATCACCCTCCAAGTCCAAGGGCAAAAGCGGCCCTAGCTGGACAGAGGCCCTTTGCGCTGAGGTACAGTACAACACTCCAAAGCTTGGGGGAACCTTTGCTAATGACGCCCATTAGCTGCGTTGTTCATCACACGAATCCTTCGTGCCTGCTCTTGACCTGCCCACCCAAGTATTAACCTCCAACAGCCTCTATAAGCCCACCTTGCAGAAGCTGCTGGTTCCAGTTGCGGACCAGACCAACTTGGGGGTCGACTATCGTCATGTCGGAAAGCAGTACCCACTGGCCAGCACTGCCGATATCGCGCACCAAGTCAGCCAATTTCTCAAGGGTCCAAAGCAAACCGACCCGCCCAAAGAGACTATATGGGTCTTTAGCTTCGGCACGTGGGACATCTGGACCTTGGCAGCCTTGCCTCGCGAAGTGTCCCAGGGCTTGGTACGAAATATGGTCGAGCATCTCTTCAGTCAGATCGAGCTTCTCTACAAGGCGTCCTTGTCGGTGGACTCCCCTGCCTACTCAGACTTTTGGGCCTATACCAATGCATCCCTTCTGGAGAGCTTGAATAGCAACCCTTCGGCTGATACCATCGAGTCTTTCCGTATCGTCATTCCCGAACTCTTCGATTTATCATTGACTCCGGGCTGGCACACCCAACGCCCCACACCTCCCGTTCCACACAGCAAGGCGGAGCATATGGTCAATGCCGCATTCCCTTGTTGAACACTGGAACTCCCGAAGTCAGCGGCCGCATGGACGCCTGGACCCGCCTCGCCGATCCCGAGCCAGCGCACGATGACACAGCCGCCCCCAAGCGGCCTACGGACGCCCAAGGCAAGCCGTATTTCGGATTCTGGAGTCCGACTGGAAAGGCCCCCGGCAAAGGTGGAGCCAGCGACAATACTCTCCTCGTACCTTATCCCCGCCGCGCCGGACTTCTTACAAACACGACGAGTTTTGTCAAGGAGGTTATCATCGAGTCGCAGTTGCGGGCAAGCAGGCTAGGAGATGGGCTTGGAAGAGGAAAGCGGGAAGATAAAGCGTTGATTCGGTTCGACGAAGTGTGGACACCGTGCATCTGGGACGGAGCAGCCTCCAATCCCTGCAAGCATTCTGACAAGCACCTCTTCTACTCTCCTTTTACCCTAGGAGAAAGGGCGATCCGGGAGGCAGCGCGACAGACGGCTGAGGCAGTAGCAATGCGGTTGTTTGCCAAAGAAGGCGAATATGACACGGCGGCCTCTGGGTGGAGGGTAGAGGGCACCGCCAAGATGAGACGAGCAGGTGAGAAGTCATTCCGAGTCAAGGCGCGATCAGCACGGTCATCATGAAAAGGGTTCGCGGACAAGTGGGCGAGCTTACGTTCAGCTGAGCTGTTGAGACGATAAGGCTGAGTCTTGGATCGATATTGGTGTTTGGCGTTGATCACATGATAATTTCGTGACATAAATGAACTTTTGGAACTTCTAACAACTATACCCACCCCCCGAAAGGTAGTACAAGCTCCGTCTGATGGGCCGTGAAAGGTGAGAAGCTAGTTCTGTATTTCTAGTCCCTTCCTCCTTTGCATCATGACGATCAGTCTCACCTAGCAGGGTCTGTCCGGACATGTTACGCCTATAGGCTGTTAAAGGTACATTACTATCAAGGCTGGGCCGTGGCGCCGCCGAAGCGGGGTATTCTTGCATTTGTTGGTCTCATGATCGAATCCTCTATCTTGAGCTGTTACACGAAGTATGCCGAGCTGCTAGGTTCTTGGATGTATTGGCACCTTCGCATAGGCTGGAAGACAAGCATTCCACCGAACACTGCAATCCTTATGGGCTGCAGACAGCATGCAGTCATATTAGGCTGTCGCATCGTGTGGCGAAGGGATGAGGATTGCCCGATACGGACATAAAAGATCAGGCTGCGGGAGCCTGAGCGCTGAAAGACACCTTTCACAATTTTCAACCTGGGACATACTACCTTCTTTCTACATTCTATCGTTTCTGCGCTCTTACTGCGAGGTATCGTAACTTCATCCGACTGTTGAAAAGCAGTAAAAATTTCTTTTGTTTTTCGGATGTCTTCGTGGTCACTCCCTGGGAATAGCTATGGACCCCGTGTCAGCTATATGTGTTGCCTCCGCCGTCCTTAACTTCGTCGACTTCAGCATCAAAATCGTCCGCGGATCAATCCAGATATGCGGCGATGCCAACCGTGACAATGACTGGCAGACGCCAGGAGACGTGGCCAAGAAGATGACCATGCTCGCCCGAAATCTGCGGCAGCCGTCAGGCTTCGGCGCCACGCCGGACGAAGGGGAGATTGCCGAGCTCGCCGCGACTTGCATGACGATGGCGGAGCGGCTCGCTGCGCTCTTCCAGTCTCTGCAGCCCAAGGACGCCAGGTCGAAGCGACAGTGTCTTTGGGCCGCGGCCAAGGCGAAGCTCAAGCAGGCAGACGTCTAGGATTTGGAGAAGAGGTTGGGCACTTGTCGTGACCAATTGGTATTGCATCTTATTCATGCTGGCTTAATCAATGGGTGAGTCCTTGCCTAATATGAGCTCGATTATCCGAAAGTTCGCTATAAGCCGCGGTGCTGCCAACGACACGGAGTCCCATCGCTTGGCGAATGCCAAATACGAGATGGCCCCAGACACTTGGTGTGAAAACATCCTCAAGGTTTCAATGGCTTCGCCTGCTTTCGATGGACACTTTCACGCATTCTCTTATCCCAAAACATCTGAGGGGTTTTTGGAAGTCACATTTCAGGTGGGGAGGAATAGCTTGCAGGCCGTTTTGCATACTAAGCTGCCCTCAAATTGGGTTTCTGAGGACGAGAAAAGACTTCTTGAAACTGGCGTAAGGCTGCTACGACATTGGGATCTTCGAGATATGGTCCGTGGACTGAGTCTCCCGAACGAGCAAGAGTTCCTCGACCGGCTTGATGCGCACGACATCAGCAGCTGGAAAGCGCACACCACGTCTCAGGAGATGAAAGTTACCACTACTCAGCAGCAATAGTCGCTCAAATTGCCGCGATAGAGTTGTTGTAATACATGAATCTTGACCTCGTCTGGCTCAATGATGTGCTTGCGTACTTACTGCAAATACGTCTCCAGGTCTCATCAAAGGAGCTCCGACCAATTAGTGTGTTAACGCACGCAATTCCGTCTCTGCCTGAGATCCAAGTTCGAGGGAAATAGCCACCGCGGGCTGTGGGATCGATTGCTGAAATCACTATTCGGGCAAATCATTCACACCGTTTCGCCCGTCCCTTCCAGACGGGGTTCGCCATACATGTAGGCCGCGGCTTCATCCGTAGGCACGTCCGAGCGTAGGGAAGCCGTGGCTGATGCTGTGTGGACCGAGGCTCACGAACAAGGATTCGGGAAGGTTACGTTCAAGTTCAGCTTGACGACCCGATGCCCATCACTCGCTGGTGCCAAGAGTGGCACCATGGTGACACGTGCACTGCCGACGTCTTGACGATTAAACCATTTTTCCATTTCGTCATCGGCCAGGCAAGCAGATTCAAGCAGCGAGTACCGCGTGCGACAAGTGACTGGCATTGTGGTATCACTGCGTGTTGCCCCTGAGGGAAGGATTTCTACCCAGCCCCGATGGAGGGAGACCGATGGAGGGAGAAAAGGAAGGAGGCGGCGGGAACAGCGATCCCTAAGCCCGGTTCCTGTGTCGCTGGCTTGTGACCGTTCGAATACAGAGATTGCCCCCGATGCAGTAGGACTTGGGGAACAAGGGTGCCCGGCCTCCGTTGACAGGGATCAAGCCCCTGTCGATAGCCTGGAACGCCGCTTGAGGGTAGGGTGCTCGGGGAGACGGGACAAGCAGTGCCCGGGAGTCATTGGGTGGCGCTGGAGTGCCGGTGCGCTTGTTGTGCTTGGGGACGCTGCTTGATTCTTCTTGTCCAAAAAAGTGCTGACGAATCGGCCATTGCGAGCAAAGTTGGCTGCAACCCAGATTGAAGGAGATTGTCAAGCAAATGATATAATATTACCGCTATTATCAAAGCGCAGGCGGAGATCTTTGAATAGTCGAATATAGGACAATATTCAGACACTGACGCCAATTTCTCTGTGTGTAAGACTTCGGTATTTGACGATGCCAGGCCTCGCTAAGTACTCAACAGTACATCAAATCACTATTGCTCACTACTTTTACACGGCCATGCCGGGGCTGTGCGGGTGCTCATGTCTACGGCCGCCCATCTGCTCCATCTCATAACCTTCGCTCCGCGCACTATCTCCGTCCCGCGCTGCATCGTAGTCGACGGTGATCTCCTTTGTGCGCGTAATGCCGCCCAGGACGCCAGAGCTGGGACTCGTACCGTGACGGCCGTCGAGGATGCTCTTGTCGCTGTCGTCGTCGAGACCAGACTCGCCCATGTGTTTGCTGACCGAGCCGCGGCGGTTTACAGTGCGGTTCGCCGTCACGACAACAGTGTTGTTGCCGATGCGAGACCTCTTTGTGTGGTCGTCCGTACCGTACACGTAGTAGCCACGGGCCGAAGATTTGAGGTCCTTGAAAAAGACGCGGAGAACGGGGATCGAGGCTGCGACGATGGCGATGACGTTCTCGACCTCAACCCAGATGATGACAAGTGAACCGTCGTCTGTTGTATCTAGTCAGCTCCTGAAGACTTCACTAGGGAAGGAAAACACGGGGGTGATTTGTACTCACAGTTAAAGTTCGGCCCTCCAACAGAAGGAAGCACAGAGCACTTTACGAAGGCGATAACACCGGCGCTGGAGTAGTTTGTCAGCTCCAGACAAGGCATCCGAGGGACAGGGGGCGTGGATCGGGTGCCTTACAAGATTCCAAGACTCATGGCGATGCCCACTCCGAGCTTTTCCTTGAGGTTCAGTTGGAGCCCCCAGAGGACTTGCCAAGGGAGGAGAGCCAGCACTATGTCCATGATTCCAGAGTAGGCTGAGGCATCGTTAGCTTGCCGCACACAGAAGACTACTGACAATAATTTCGACGTACCAGAGGCGAAGATCATGTAATCGGCGTTGATCTGCGGATCCCAGCAGTGACCAGGCAGGTTCTGCTTATAATTCTTCTGCACAGGGCTGCACCGAGCCCACGTCATGATGACCATGCCGGTGATGGCCAGGTTGACGGAGATCATGATGAACCAGATAACCCATTTCATGCGGCCCTCGACGACACGGAGCAGCGTCAAGGCGAACGATGTCTTGCTCCACGCGATGCCAAACATGGAGGCGTTGCCGCCTAAATTTCCTAAGAGACCGACCGTTTCAAAAACGCTGAAGTCGAAATCCGGAGGAAAGTCTGTGAGCTTCTTGCCGAAGCCTAGAGAGACATTCTTGGTGTTGATGCCAACACTGACAATGAGCATGGCCTGAAGAGACCGCCATTAGCGATGGAGCTCTAAAGGTAACCACTTTCCAAGGCAGAACTCACCCAGGCGCCGATGAGGAAATAGTCGTCCCACCACAGTCCACGGTGTTTCCAGAACTTGGCGAATAGTCGTAGACCCAGGAAGATCGAAGCGAACGCGACGCAGGTCCACAACGAGGCGTTCATGACCGGGCCATAGTCATCAGGCTTGCCCATGACGGGTGATGCGTGGTCTCTGGGATGTCCCAGAGGTTCGACTCGTAGGCAAGTTTCCGGACAGGCAATCTAGGGTTGACGACCACCTTGGAATGCTGTCGCTTTGTGTCTAGGCTTCCGACGATCAGATACTGGACATTTGTGTGGCTCGGGCCAGTCAAGCCAGGGGAACCGTAAAGATCGACACTGCTATGTCCACAAGGCAGAAGGGAAAGGAGAGACAAACGCCAGTGGCACGCAGATCGATGGGGGTGGGATCGTGTTGATTAAAGCCTGCGCTGGGGTAGCGGGAAAGGATACTCGTCTTTCCACGGGTCAGGTATTGGCCTGCTGGATCTGGGGCGTGACAGGGTTTGCGAAGGCAAGAAATGCAACCTGATCGTGAGGCACCCCTGCACGCAAGTAGGGATGGGTTAGTCCATCCGATGCAGGCTGTGACAAAGTTCAAGGGATTTGCGACCAGCCAGTGGGATGTCCCCTGCCACAACCCCGAGTTAGGGCCCCTGAACTGATACAAGGCTTGCCTCCCAGGGTCGGGGAAGAATTACATGTACTGCGAACAATTTACGAGACGCAAAGACAGTTAGGCACCTTCAGCTTCTGTCGCTCTCGTCGAATGAGGAAAGGGTTGGGTTGCAATACCAACAAATAGTCGCACTCAACCCGAGATAGAGTTTACGGGGTCCTGTCACAGGCGGGGAGCTCGTAAAGGGGCTACCGGCTATGGTTTGTGGCGGCTGCCGCAATGGCCAAGGACAGTTTCTGCCGTTCAAGCAGCAGCAGCCAGGGTTCGCTGTTCAAAGTTCCGGCCAAAATTACGATGGAAAGCTGCAGGTCAAAACCCCGACCAGCTGCAAGCGAGGCGTGCGGACAGGGGTTGTCACACATGCGGCCCATCGCGTGCGGCCAGAGGTCCTCAAAGTAAGGGTGACATGCCTGACGCAAGGGCATTTATCTACCAGCCGAGAGTCTGCACAGCTAGTCTTCTCCAAAGTCAGTTTGGGGCAGAATCGAAGCCAGCCAAAAACAGAAGTGATGGACAGTCTCCTGCGCCTCGAACACATCCGGTACCACAGCTAAGACGTTAAGCCGATGAGGAAGGAAATGATCGCAACCACCACACGCCATCTTTTGATCACAGCCTTGGCAGGATGTGCCTTTGGGCACAGACTGGGTTCGAGCCTAATCTCGTCCCGTGGTATGGTGGCAACGGCCGAGAAGATTGCCCCGCTGGATGAAGAAAAGGGGACGGGTAATGAGACCACAACGCGCGGGGCGATCAGCCATGCGGGGGGAAGACGGGCAGAAATAACATGCGGATTTGGTCCCATGAACGAGATCCAGGTTCGCTGAAGAAGTGACAAGATTACTGTAGGTGTCAGCGGAGCCGGCGGTACTGCCGGCCCCTGAAGCCATGCTCGTCGCGCCAGGGAAATGGCAGGGGTATGACTCTTGGCTCCTACTTTCGTACTAGGTAGGGTGCGGTAAAAAGCCTGAATCGCTGGGCGGGGGGGAGCTGGAAGGGGATCAGCCTATGAAGTCTTGCTTGAGCACATTCTCGATCAACGGATTTGCTGCTAGTGTGCGCTACGGTCGACCCGGCACCGGGGGCCAAAGTCCCGGTTGCTTTGTCGAGTGCTCTGGGGGCCTTCGTGGCGCGACGCAGCTTGCAAGGGTCTTTGAAGAAACGCAGCCTTCCTTCTTTGCCAGGCAGGGCGGCTTGGCTTCCTGGATGGATCGAAGACTGGCATTTCGGGGTTTGCTGTAGCTTCCCTCCGATGAAGGCGGCATCCACGCGGAGTTTGCCGGAGCAGTGGCTTACATGTACTTACATTAGGCGTGGTGTTGACTCGCGGGCTCCTCGTGTCACGGGCGTTGTGATCTCCCTCGTCTGTTCTCTATTCTGTTCAAAGTTACCAACCATGGTTTGCTGGATAATGCACGGTAATAGATCATCTTACCTGCTTGAGGGTTTCCAAAGCTTGCAAGGTTACATGACGATCAATTTTCGATCCGAACCAAGCCTTGGGTTAGTTTACCACGTCGATGGAAGCATGGTAACTTGGCGCCACCATCTGTGCGTCTGATCGTGTGATTAATGGGGACAGTGAACAACGCCAGAACACATCGAGTACCTGATGTTGATCAGGTACCCAATAGTGGCGGGTGCTTAGCACCACATAGGTATGCCTTAAGGCAAGCCCACAGCACTCCACTATGCCTTGCCTTGATTCTCACGGGATGCTGCGGCAGAGCTTCAACATCTGCTCCTCAAAGTGCCGCTTTTCTCGCGCTGTTCGGGTACAGTGACTGGCGGCCGTGATTTCAGCCATATCATTATCAGTAATGCTCTGCCAGCTCTAACGTCCCACTTGGCCTAGCTCCAACCCGGAAGTTGCGCGGAGCTCAACAAGCTCCCGAGCTAGCTTTTTTGAGGCAGGTCAAGGCGCTTGACGGAACATGATTTGAACGCTTGTCTCCCAGGAGGGGGCGCAGCATACCTGGTAAGTAAGAAGAATCGGAAGCGGTTTGGGGGGCTGCGCATTGAGCGATCACAGCTCCCTACATCCCACTACTCGCAACTGTGCGAAACCACACGACCAGCGTCGTCTCAGCTTCTTCTCCTCTCTGCAAGAAGTCAGTGTGGTTTTTGTCTTCGATTTTCAACCCTGCGCGAAGCAACGGTCATCGCCATGTATTCTGCATGGGAAGCATGAGACGGAAAACCCCGTCTCATGTGCATGAGCTATTGCTCGATAGCTCGATTCAGCGTCGGGGGTCCTTGAAAAAGTTCCAGACTGTCCCCTACACATCATGCAGAAGCGAGCAAGGGTGTATTCTTCAAGCGAGCGAGTCAACCCCTCCCTCAATCTTTCGTTAGTGGCGTACCATCAGCGGCGACCTCAAGGCGAACAGGATTTGAAAGCATATTCATGCCTCGTGTCTCGCTATAGCGTGCTGCTTGCTGGTCGCTTACGTGACATTCGGGGACGTGCAGCAAAAATTTATCAGCAAAAGCCTTATTGGCTCTTTGAAAGATTTTGACAGCTGCTTCGCTTCAGGGGAGGGAGGCTGCGTCGTTTTTTGGTGTTGCAGTGGTGCGACCCAGCTTCCCGGATCACGTAAACCTTATGCAGGCCCTTGTCCTGTAGCCTGACAAGCTGGGAAGGACATCTCATCTTGAGGCTACGGTTTCGGGACTCAACTTCAACTGCAATTGTTGCCTAGGATAATGGAGTTCGTGGGATGTTCTACACGCGCATGTCTCGCACCGTCAAACATAGATGAGACTGAGCTTGTTCTCGCATCAAACAGCTACACTTTCTTTTCTTTGACAGCTCCTGTATACTGTCAGCGACATGTTGCAATCGGAAGCAAGTCATTGACTTGAGTCTAATATCTGCGATACGAGCCTGCCATTGATGACAGATAGTGTGATTCGTACAAGCTGTGCTAAGAGGTAATACGGAGGTCGGTAGGTTCGCTATTGTGGCTCTTCTGGCCGATATCGAGACGGCAATTCTCCCGTTCGTACCACATTTGCTACCACGAGAGGGCTATCACCTTCCCGAGAGGCAAACAAGGGCCGTTCGTCAACTACCAGACATCCAGAGCACAAATCACTAATAAGTCACGGCTTGTAATACAGCTTCTGCATATACAAAACGAATGTATGTCTCGATGATGTTCTTTTCCGACCGTCTGGTGTATACGGGAAGTGCCGTACCGCAGCAGAAACGTGATATCACCGTCTGAGTAAGGCCTTTTCTCTCATTCTAGCCGTCATGGAGTCCATTGTTGTCCTCTTGTTCGCCGTCTGTAACTCGTATGGACTACTAAGTCTTCTCCAAGAGCGACCGCAATTCACTCAGCCGAACGGGTTCATCAAGCTACTTTTGCAAACTCCGCATGCCTTCAAGAGTGGCGGAGAATTTGAGCATCAAGGGAAGCTTTCACTTCCCCCTTCGGTCGATACCTTCAACCTACAGCCTGGGGATCCCAGCCACATGGTCAGACGTACATATAC